TGGGAGTGGAGTGGGGGCGGGGCGGGGATGCTGCAAAGGCTGCTGCCGCCCTGGCTGAGTCCCTGGCTGAGTCCCTGGCGGGCTTGCAGCTCTGCAGAGGGAGGAGCGTGGGAGGAGATGCTGAGTTGGGCTCAGAGTGCACCAGCTCCAGCTCCAGCCGCAGTGAGAGCAAGACGCCCAGAAAGTCTCCCTGGGGGTGGCCTGGTGACCTTACCCTGCAGCTGGGTGGCAGAAGAGGGCAGGAGGAGGCTTCTGTTCCCTGCCTGACCGGATCTCGAACCGTGACCTCCTGGTTCATAGGTCGACGCTCAACCACTGAGCTGGTTAATTTTTTTAAAAATATATATTTTTGTTGATTTCAAAGAAGGAGAGAGAAAGAGAGAAACATCAATGATGAGAGAGAATCACTGACCGGCTGCCTCCTGCATGCCCCCTATTGGGGACTGAGCACACAACTCAGGCATATGCCCTTAACTGGAATTGAACCCTGAACCCTTCAGTCTGCAGGCTGACTCTCTATCCACTGAGCAAACCAGCTAGGGCGATTGGTTGATTCTTGTATGTGCCCTGACCGGGGATTGAACCCACAACTTTGGTGTAAGGAGATGATACTCTAACCAACTGAGCTATCCGGCCAGTGCTTGGGCCACACTTTCAAGCCCACCTTTAGCAGTCATCCTTAGGTGGTCTCCCTACCAAGGCACAGCAGGCCGGAACTGTCCAGATGCCTGGTGCTGAAATGTCCCTGTGCTCTTCCGTGTCTCCAACAGGGCCGCACAGTCCTTCTTAAGCACTTACTGTATGTCAGCCATTGCTCCAAGGACTGGGTAAGTCAGCAGTGAATAAAACAGACAAGAATCCCTACCCTTATGAAGTTTGCATTCTATAGGAGGAGACAAGGTAAGATAGAACTTCCCATGTTAGAAAAGGTCAAGTTTTGTTGAGAAAAATAAAGCCAAGAAAAGAACGAGTTTAGCAAGTGCACCCCAAAAACAGTGGTCACATGCTGTTTCCTAGAGAGGTCATACAGACACCACATATGTAAGCAGTCAGGTACAGGATGCCAGGCTGGGAAGGGAGCCCCCCACATAGAGGATGTGCTGACACTGGGTCACAGGTCACAGGGACTCTCTGCTGGGCCACTGTCAGAGGCCGGACCTCAACCCCAGCTTGCTGCCTCTTCCCTCTCTGTGGATCTCTCATTCCCCCCACCCTTAGCTCATCTAGGCCTCCACCGTGTCAGAGAAATGGATTTCCACCCTGTGTATCTAACACCAGCTTAGCCTGGGTGATTTGAGACACTGCCACTGGGTCCACTCAGGCAACGTACATCCTCACTCTGGCCTCAGTTTACTCATCAATAAAATAGGGACAATGATCCTTACCACTTAGTGAACCAGGTTTGAGGAGGTACCGAGGAGAAAGTGGTGGCTGTACAGATGGGAGGGATTCTCCCTCATTGGGGTCTCATTCTTCAGAGACCGTAGAGCTCAGCACAGGGTCTAATCCCATCGATGCTGAATGAATGAAGTACAGCAAACAGCCGTGCTTGGCTGGTGTTCACAGAGAGCTTCCCCCTGCAGCCCCATCGCTGAGGAGCCCTCACCTGGGGGTCTACAGGAGCCCAGGTGGCAGCCCAGGGACAGCAGGAGTGAGGCTCCATTCTGAGTGGGTCCTGCAGTGTGGGCCACTGTGGGAGACACTTGGGGGCAAGAAGAGCCTTCACGCCAGGCCAGGTGTTGCTCAGCAATTGAGCGTGGACCCAGGAACCAAGAGGTCACCGGTTCAATGTCACCGGTTCGATTCCGAGTCAGGGCATATGCCCAGGTTGCAGGCTTGATCCCCGGAGGCAGCTGCTTGAGGATTCTCTCTCGTCATTGATGTTTCTATCTCTCTCTCCCTCTCCCTTCCTCTCTGAAATTAAAAAAAAAAGTATTAAAAAAGAAGAAGAGCCTGTGGTCAAACAAGTTTGGGGAACCCGGCACACTCGACTCACCTCTGGTAGATCCCCAATGTTCATCATCTCGTCCAGATGCCAAGGGCCCTAGTTAGCCATGAAACTCCCTCTTTCTCTCTCCTTTTTGGATGAACACTTATCATCTGGAAGTAGGTGCCGTGGGAAATGCTGGGCTGGAATTTGGGAAGCACTTGAGCATTCTGGTCCCAGGGATAAACGTTTTGTTTCGAGGTTTACAGAGTTCTGTAACTTCTATTTACTATCACGTAGCACATGCTCAGTAAACTCGCGATGGATGTGAATGAATCTGTGGTTCTACTCACTCCCAAACGGTAAGAATTGGAGGGAGGAAGATGAAAGTGATTCGAGGCCTCAGGAATCGGGGCAGAATCATTTTTACTCCCCTCTAGACCACACGTTTGGCAGGAGAACTGATGGAATTTATTCACCTAAATGACAACACAGAGTGGTAAGTGTAATGAGGTGGATTAGCCATGGGGACCAGGGAGGGAGGAACTCACTAAATGGGGGAGTGAAGGAGGCCAGAAAAGGCAGCCTGGAGGGGAGCCGGCAGGGCCCTTTGGGGGAGTGGCCTGAGAGCTCTCACCCTCATGCCATTTTTTCCAGCCACATCACGCCTGGGACTTCTTGCTTGGACTCCACGGGCAGCTGCTATCCCATAGGTTGTGGCCCCCTGGCCTTGACAGAACCCATCCTGGCCCCCTCCTCTCTTTCACCTGGCCCCTCCCAACACTCCCCTTTGCTGTCAGCTGCCTGCAGCCCTCCCACACCCAGAAGATGTCTCTGTATTATGCAGACCACTGAAAAGACCCAGTGGAACAAGGCTCTAGTGGTAAAATTACAAGCAGAATGACAAGTAAATGGGGAGCCATGTGACAGCAAGGGGACCCTGAGCAAACCACC